ACACACTCACAAGCAAACGATTTTACGACTTGCTGCAGGTTGACTCGAGTGTTGTTGCATGCCCGAGCTTTTGAGGCGCCTTTAAGTCTTTGAAAAACGCAATGTCAGCGCTTAAAAGTGTTTGAATGCATATATTCCCACATACAGACATAGGTATATGTATATATTATATGCATAATATATTTGCTTGTATATTCATATAGTTCATCTGCAGCAAATGCATTGCCTGAGTCGCAAAATCGTGCAAAGTGTCTGTAAACATTTATTTCAAAAAAGAAATTGTCTGTGCACATTGTTCTCTTGCAACTGCTGAGGTGTGCGTGTGTGTGTGTGTGTGTGTGCATGAATTCCTTTTTGCTCGCAAATGTGCAGGCGTCACATTGTTTATGTTGCTTGTGTGTGAGTTATTGTTGCGAGACATGATACTTTTGTATTTTGTAGCACGCAGCGCATTACAAATGACAGCCGCCTGTCACATACCCATAACAAACATTCACACACACCCACACACAGAAGCACACGCACACACTCACACAGACGCAGGCTTGCCTATTAGTATGATAGTTGTTGTTGCTTTTGTTGTATTGTTCCTAGCTGCTCTTGATACCAGGCACACACAGCGCTCGGCATTAGTTAGTCCTTCATAGCCCCGGCTACCGTTGTTGACACATTTTAGCCAAATCGATGGCAGCCAACTGAATTATGGCCACATCCTGGCCAAGCTGTTGACCCAACTGGTTACACATAGCGTCGCACACGCCCGCAACCCCGGCTCTCGCAACCTCTTGTCGCTCCTTGGTAGTCGTTATTTAATTATAATTTTCGTATACTCTTCAAAGAGCATGTCCTAGCGAACTCAGCCGAGTAAACGAAGCAAATAGAAACTTGAATGAAGTAGAAGTGAGTCAGCTTAATGAGTTTGGAGGTTGTCTCAGTCTTCCAGAAGCTCACTCCACTTCTATATATCACCCAAAGCTATTCAAACCAAGTCTTCGATACAGACTGTTGAACAGCGAGTGTATCTGGTCTTCGTTGTAGATTATTTAATTTTGAATTCTCTTTCGTCTGCACAGAGAAAAGCTTACTCAAATTGTGTTGTCATCAATTGGGAACGGGTTGGGAGCTGTGAGAAATACGACCGAACGCTATGGATTTTTCGGGTCATTGTTGTTGTTCATGTAATGTTCGCAAAAAAATGCAATTATAATTTCATATTTCAATTAATATAAAAGTGACAAAGAGAGACAGGGACAGGTTGCGAGAGACGGGGAAGGACAGGAAAAAACAAAAAGACAGAGAGTACTTATCTCTCTCTCGCTCTATCGTTTGTTGCATGCAGTTGAGAGCTGACGTAGCTAAATGCCTGATAACATTCTTAATCACAGTTTTATTTTACATAAAGACCCACTTCACATCTAGTTACATAGCACAATATAAAATTGAGATTACAATGCCCGTCAGCTATTGATTTCCTTAACACTTACTGAAAACTATCGCCTGGTCTGGCAGCCTGATTGACTAATCAACTTCAAATTAATATCACAACTTCCCAACGAATTTGTTTTTCCAACAACACTCAGTCAATAAATATTACGCAATCCACTGCCAGTATAAGTTCCACAAGAATATTCAACTTTTAAATAAATACATTTTTATCACATTAAAATTAAGTGTTTAAATAAGCTTAAATTATAATAGTATAATTTGTATTAATTTTTTTTTTGCAGAAGTAGAACTGTTGTAAAGCAAGCTTCGTTTTTCATAAATAAATTAAATAAAATAATATAAAATAAAAATAATAATAATAAATTATATAACAAGAAAATCTTTTTATTGTTTTTATATATTATTATTTTTATATATTATTATTATTATTATTATACATTTTACCTTTTTTTATTACAAAAATAAATCCTTAATTATTTCACTATTTTTATAGAAAAATAAATTATAATTATTATTTAATACACAAATAAAATATTTTTAATATATTATTACATTTTATTATTTACATATTATTATTATTATATATATATATATATATATATATATATATATATATATATATATATATATATATATATATATATATATATATGTGTGTTTTTTTTAATAAAAATAAATTATATTCATTTATTTTTTTTATATTTTATATTTTATATTTTTATATTATTTTTTTGACCGATTGGATTTACATATTTAATTATTAATTATAATTTTCATATTGACAGAAATATTCTAAGCCCACCAAGTATTTGTCAATCTTTGCCTTATTATATTAGTCCACGGCCAAGGTCATGGTCAAGGTCAAGGGCAAGGTCGACATAAACACACAACCGCTTGCAGCTGAAAATCTGCACTCATTTCAATGAGCTGCCATTTTGTTATTTTTAATTTGATGGAATTAGCTTGTTAATTGCAACGGCCTAACAAACGGACAACTTGCAGCAAGATAAATTTAATTAGTGCGTCAAATGTCAACTAAGCAGCAGCATCTCTGCGGGTGTCATGTAAACTTTTACAAAAAATATGAAGGCAAAGGGGAAAAGTTCATGTGTGTGAATTCAATGAAGAAAATGTGCTTGCATGGTAATTGAGCACCCTCGAAGTTAAGGAAAAGTATTAGATCTGAGCAAAAAGCCAACGCCTTAAGAATCCAGCATGGAAAATTGCTTGGCCCAAAAATACATCGAGTCTGTACGTGAACAGGTCAGTTCATGTATCATTACTGGATGCTGATCATTCGTAGTATTTTATCAAGAATTCTATAAAAATTTGAATTGAAATGAGCTTAAAAATGCATACCGATTAGTGGTTGCTATCGAAACTGAAATGCTATAGTTGATACTAAGCCCTGCAACGTGATTTCACGGGTATTCTAAACGAAACTAGGATTAGCTACAGACAATGAGGTGTGTGTATGTTGACTTTCAGTGACTTTTTTTTTAAATAATATTGTAATATACTTCATTAGCTTACAAACTGTACTTTGAGTTGCCCTAACAAGAAATTTGTTGAGATTTTCAGTTAAATATATCTAGCGATCATTAGCATAAATATAATATATACATACACATACAGATGTCACTCACATACACACGCACACATACACAGAAAGAGAGAGAGAGAGCGAGAGAGGGATAGAAAGCAGTACTGTAAATATTTGCTCATAACAATGAAGTTTATTTGAATTGCGCATACGCCTAGTTAGCCAACCCGTTGTGCCTCCGTTGTTAACGCTGGGCTTTGTAAATCTCGTTGGCAATTCGCATGTCCTCCATGGATACCAACGTGGGGTGGTAGGCTTTGTGAAATGACTATTTGGCTAAGTGGAAAACGCGCTGCGCATGAAAAGCCAACGAAAATGTAACTACAATAAATATTGCCTCCGAGCGACGCGACGCGACGAGAAGCGACGGCGAGCCAAGCGACCAACCTTTAAGTAATTGTCGTTGGCAGTTGTTGTCATTACAGTTGTTGTTGTTACTGTTTATTATTATTATTATTATTATTATTATTATTCTTATTTTATTTTCTGTTTGTTTGCCTTTGCTTACTTTTATGTTAAAGAGGTCTTCGACAAAAGGCGCGCCTGCCGAACATTTTAATGAGATTTTTGATTTCCAAAGAAACTCAAAACATAGCATTCAAGTTTAACCCCGTTCATTTTCGCTCTCGCTCTTATTGTCAATATCCCACTCGCTCTGACTCGCTCTCGCACACACGCCGTTGGCGCCCGGCCATAGGCAGCCAAGTTAATTAGCAAAAAACAGATAACGTCGCAACAAAGTCTAAATACACACACACACACACCGACATACATATATACATATATATATGAACGAAAATGAAAGGAGCAACCAGCATCTAAGGCCATCTAATGTCGCTTCCACCTGCCAGCTGCCACCAAGCACCTGGCCCACAAATTCAGCCCATCAGTCACTTAACATCGTGTGGGTGGCAGGCGGACGGGGCAAAGAAAATGATTTATTATCTGCGAAGGCAGTTAAATAAAATTGGTTGAAAATTGTTTGGGCAAACACCAGTTGGACCTCGTTACAGTTATATTTACAGCAGCCGTAACTCGTTATGTTTATGTTTTTCTGTTGATATTTCTGCAAAGTTAATGAACTGGAAAACCCACACAGCCAGCGCCAACTTTGATGGCAGCTCTTAGATGTTTCTCTTCAGGCTTCAGCTGTCTTTGTACTTTCAAAGTTGAGCTCAAATGACGATGAATTCGAAAATGCAAAATGAACTGAGACAGAAAAATGTTTATCAATGGCATAAACTACAGACTCGATATGGACATATTCTTCGTTCCTCTAAGTCGATAAGAATTTATTCGCACAAAACCAATGGACATTGAGTCAATTTACATCAACATTTTGAAACATCAAATTTGAAGAGGCATACGAAATGTGGCCCGTTCTCTAAGTAGATTTATGTTATTGGTAAACAATGAGTAAGCCTTTTAATCCATTTTAATTAACATAAAACAACAAATAAAAAAAGCTTTTCATGTTTTGCCATCGTTTTTTTTTTATAAATTTTCAATTTTAATTAACTTCAAAATTATATACAAATTAAATATTCATTTCATATTTCAGAATTTCATTTGCTTTTTTATTATATTGTTTTTTTTTTTTTTAAGTTGATATTTACATAAATATATTTTTCACATATATTTTTTATTGATCTTTTGAGCACTTTCTATGCTGAATAAATTATATCATAATAATCAGATAAAATTAAAGCAATATACTCTTAACACTTTTTGAATCAGTATAAACACTATAAAACTGTTTAGATACGGATTCTTTACTTTGCCAAGTATGCGTGGTCATGTAATCTTAAGACTTTAATAATTATATTAAGTTTCCACTCCGAAGACACTGCACCAAAGGAAAGCAATTTGTATCATGAGAACAAATTAATTAATTGACATTTTACAACATATTCAAATTCAAAATAGTTAAGTTTATAAAGTTTGTACTCACCTTCTTAACTTGTTGTTATTGTTATTATGTTTTTTGCAGTTTATGCTTTACAGCTTTGACACTTGTTTTCTTTCAAAATTTGTTTTGTTTTCGAAAATAAATTCAAAACATTCGACTTTCGTCTGGCTCAGCTTGAGGCAGATGCAAACACCTTTGGCTTTGGCACGGCAAAAAAAAAGAAGAAGAACAACACACACACTCACAGAAATCCGCAAGCAGAACACAAAATTTTCAAAATTGTAACCGTTATGCGTACGCGAGTGTAACAGTTGTTGTTGCCCTCTCTGACTAACGAAGCGCTGACTGACTGTCAGTGATGCTGACTGAGCGAATGCTTTAGCTGCTGCTTAGCCTTAGTGCTTAGCCTGTCGGAGAGCGAGAGAGAGGAGTGTGTCTGAAGCTGAACCGAATCGCACGAGAGTCTGTTGACGAATGATTCTAAAATCGCAACGCTGGACTCGAGAGTCCGGAAGCATCCGTCCGTTTACAACAAGTTGCCATACGGTAACAGCGGCGTAACAGTAAAAGCCATGCAAGCTTTTCCTGCCTACGCTCCTCAGCTTTTACTGTTAGCGTTAGCTTTGCGAAAGCTTAAATCACGCTGCGTTTAAACTGCTTAAATAAACCGTTATATCTGTTCAGCTACATATTTCTAGGACACTTAAGATTAACATTTACTGTGAGTGAAAGCGCACGACTAACCGATACCCTGTAATCACGAACCTTAGACCAGGATATGCAATATATATAATGCTCCAGAGCATACATATTCTTTTAACAATAAATAAAATGTCAGTTTTTATAAGCAAGCTTTGCATTTTCAAGACAATAACTAACAGTTCAGACTTTGCTTGTTTAACCTCTGCGGGGACCAACTGGAAGTAATTCCCAGTTCAGTTTTGACGAAACTGACTTCACAACTTCTCAAACGAAGCAACTTCCAGTGCTCAAAAAATATAAGTTCTATACTGTTTTTTAATGTTTGTATGGTTTTTATTATTCTTAAATATAAGATTAAAATAAAATTAGTATTTACATTTTGTAATTAAAACTATAACATTTAATAAATTTCATTTCATTAAGGTTATCCAATTTTATGTTTATGTTAGTATTTATCTCAGATTCCTTTATATTCATCAATTTACTTTATCGGACTATGAACAAGCATTGCGCTATAGGTAACACCTGACTGAAATGTTAAGGCTTCTCTTTATTAGCTTACTTATCACAGTTTTCAAGTTAAAAAACCTTAATTTATATTTAATTTCTTTGCATTTACATTTCAGATGGAGTTCCTCAATGCCGTTGTCCTTCTTTGTAGTTGCATTTCTTATCACATAACTTACATACTTGCTATCTCCCTTTAATCAATGTTGGTCACGTGACATCTCGCTCTAATTCGTTATGAATAATTCCATTTACGCATTTCACTCTATTCTGTTGGAAATGTTTGAGACATTTTAAAAATTTCTGAATAAGCTCGTTAACATGCAAATATGCAAGTATTATAACATAGACGCTTAAGTCTGGTTTTAACAAAATATACTTAACTTCTATAAATCTTTTGTAAAACAGATGCAGGCTTCTTTAGTGGTTGAGTCATCGCAAAATGTCCATATATGCTTCTACGTTACTTCAGCTACATCCCATATATATAGACATTTATGTGGTGAGATATTTTCATAAGTTCCCTCTTAGAAGAACTCTTTATTTCTTATTTAAGCAGGAAAAACAATTGATTTGTTTACTTTCGTTTGTGTAATTGAGCAACAGCTGTTTCAATTTAGCACTAAAAAATGTCAAATAAAATACCAACTGCAATCAAATGACACGAAGCCAATAGGCTGGCATTTCACCAGAGTGACCACACGAGACATCCGTTAAGTGTTTAGAATTTAATACTGAGAAGGCGGCTTATTTAAATTTAGATTTATTTATATATGCTAACGAAATGTTCGTATTATATTCAATTTAATAAAATATAAAAAATATATATGACATTTTAATAAAACATTCTAAATTAAATAAATTAAATTCGCATAATAATACGCATATAAATTGTCTAAAAGTCACTAAGACCTGATGAAATTTTAAAATATTTATTTTTAATAAAAAAAATCACATATTATTTTCAAACAATTTTATTTATTTTTAATTAGTTAAAGCTCATGTGATTAAATAATATAAGAGATTTACAGTCAGTAAATATTGAAATATTCAGTTAATATATTTTAATATTATTATTATATTATATTTTATTATTATTATTTAATATGACTATAAAAAAAAAAATTTGAAGAGTTAGACTCTCTTGGCCTTTGGTTTACTCGCGCCAATCGCCAATGATCTGCGATGAGGGCACCAACTGTAGGCGGCCGGGCGCATTGGCCATATAGGGCAATGGCGGCAGTGGGAACCTGAGAAGATAAAGATAAGGATTAGACTGTCTGAGTTTGGGGAAATTGGTGTTTACCTTGGCCTAAGCGGCGGCCCTTGACGCATGGGCATATCTTTGACTGTGGGATAGGGTTTCGGTCTAGCGTTCAGCGACTTGGCCTTAACGAGATTGGCCAAAGGCGCAATGCCAGCGTCGACGCTCTCCAATGTATTGCGCACCACTGACGGCGGCTGAGGGGAACGAGTTCGCTGCTGAGCCGCCATCATTGGCAGTTGCGTGAAACGGAATAGACGCGGAGTTGCATCTTCATTGGACTGAGCAATCATATCAACCTCTGTGGCACCCATGTCAGCTGGCTCAGCTGCGCCCGCTGCCCCTTCTGCACCTGTAGCACCCGCTGCCACCGGCTGCGTGAACATGGCAGAGAGCTGGATGGGCACGAAGGCGGGCAGGCGCACAGTTACAGGTGTCCCGGGCACAGGTGCTGGTGCCGGTGCAGGTTCAGGTGCTGGCGGTGCTGGCGGAGCAGGTGGCGCTGGTGGTGGGGGTGGTGGTGGTGGTGGTGGGGCTGGTGCTGGTGGTTTCGGCGGCCTCTTTGTTGGCGGTGCCACCGTCTCGGCTGGCTCAGGGGCAGGCGTCGCTGTGCCCGCCTCAACATCCTGCCAGGCCTCCAGCAACGTCAGCAACTCATCCTTTGTCATATGGCCCAGACCAATGGGATTGAAGCTGCCAATGCTGTTCCAGTCCAACGAGGGCAGCTCGTAAAGCGAGCGCTGGTCACGCGCGTACATCAGTTGCTGGCCTGCAATGCCATGGCACAGCAGCAGCAGGAGCAGCCACACTAGACTTGTCGACATTCTCTTTGCTGGTTGTTTCACAATTGTTGGCAGGCTTGCAACGCGCAGCGCATTTTATATTTTCACATCGTCCGGCTGTGGGTTTTAATTTTTGTTTTGGCTGCACCGGAAAACGGAAGCGCACGCACAAAGCAGCGGGTGAACTGGTTATAAACACGACAAATGGTCACTCTAATCCACGCACTAGCCAACAATCCATGCGTATGCGTGCCTAGCCAATGACCAAGTCCAAGTCCAGTCATGCCCTCTAGCCATAAATGGGGTTACTAAAGAGAGTACTGGGTATGCCCCAAGCACTGATCCACTTCCAAGCATTTCATAGTTCTGCCCCCACATCAGGATCTGTGAAATCTGCAAGAGATTTATTTAATTTAATTTATGTATTTGCAACTTCTTGGCTACTCGTATTATCTTATTCCATATCAAATGTATATAGGAGGCGTGTGTCTACAGGATATCCCGCAGCCCATCAGTTTTGAAACTCGAATTTGCTTTTATTGCCAACGTGGGCCAGTTGCCGGGCAGGCGCAAACCAGTTGCCGAGGCGAACTGTAACAGCCAACGCTCTATTTTGGACTTGCTGTTGCAGCTGGAGCTGGTTGTGTGGATGTCGATGTTGATTTATGCTGGTGTTCGAGGAAGCGTTTACCAAACGTCACAGATTTATGCGTACTACACATACGTATGCATGGGCATTCATAGCTATTCGTTGTTATTTGTTTGGCTGTTTTTCTCATGTTTTCACTTTTCATCGCCTTGTTCGCGTAGTTCAGATAATTAACTAACTCAATATATGAGAAACATAATATATGGGAAAATAAGCTGGGCTCGAAATCGATTCGTATTTAAATTTAGTTACGTTGTATAAATTTAAGTCATGGCTGTCAGTCTCTCCCTCTCGCTCTCTTTGTTTCTTATATTAACAGTAACGGTTTATTAAAGGTAAGTCAAAATTATCTAGTTTTCACAAGACTCATATCATATCTCATTGCTCCACTTGATGCATTCTGATCAGCTTAGCCGAATCAATTAAATTCCTATAATATATCAAAACTAAACCAATTCCCAAGGCAATATCATATTCTTTACCTTCTAGTTCAGCGTCTGTATCATATATGTTTTTAACTTTATGTTGTAATTTACCATTTCTAAGTTACAATATTCGCATTTGCCATACTGAGTCAGTTATGTGGCTGGCCAACTTATCAGCTACAAAAGCTAGAGACTATAGCATTTATGTAATATGCGAGCTCTGCTCAAATTGAACATCTTTTTTGGTCTCTTTAAAGCTGTTGTCCTAGTTTAATCCTAATCAACCAATCGCAATCCACTTAATGCCTCGTTTTAAAACGACTCAAAGGGGATTACAATTTTGCGAGGTATAGAAGCCTACTTAGGGACACATCAGCAACATCATTAAATACCTCAAACAGATTATGACATGAATAAAAAAATTTTAAAAACACTTAAACAATCCAAAAATCTTTGTGATGTTCTTCAGCAACCCCAACGTAGCATTGTTCTTTCATGGATCTCGTCTGCATTGGGAATAGGCAAAAGTCACAGAGGCCAGCACTGGGAAGGCTATAAACGGAAGGCTATAGATTGATAAAGATTCTTGAGTTAATTTTTAGAAATTGGCAAAAATCGAAGATGAGCCAAAAGACATTCAGGCAAAACAGCACTCAAAAGTTAACTCAGCACTCAAATGGGTCAAACTTGTCGCTATAAGTGAGGCACATCAGCGTCAACATAACGCCACAAAAAACCAAAATCTGCCATCGAATGTACGCAACCAGCGCTAATTGTGGCTCATATATTTTTGACCCTTTTTTTAGAGTTGCATAAGCTTATATCAAAATAAAGTAAATAAACATAATTTTAATAGCAAATTAATGACTTTTATTAGATAAGAAATGTTATGACATTAATGCTGAAATATGATTTCAGTTAAGTGTTTGCTATGACTGCCACGTACAAGACATAAGCTGAAACATCACTTTTTACAATCATCGTTTTCGAAGGCAACCAATGAATCCAGCCAGCGAATCCAGAGCGCAGCAATCACTACTTTTCTGTGCATTTAATGATGTATCGAAAAAAGTTTGTTGACTATTTTAACTTCATATGCAACATTTGTGCTTGCCTGTTCATTATACGTCTTTAACATGGAAAAAGTGCACGATAAATTTGTCTAACTGAATCATATTTTAGATAAAAAGTATTTAATGTATGTATGAAAAAAGTGTTAGTTTATCTTTAATAAGATGTCAAGCCCAACTCAATAAAAATCAACTATTTATTGTTTAATAAGTTGTCCACTAAAGCAGCGTTGTTAACTTGAGGTTGTAAGACTAAAAAACAAACTTTACAAGATTCTCATAAATCAGGCGCAATTTGCAGAAAACCTTTGGTTGGGCACAGCTTGAACAGCTTAGAGACAACTCACACATCATGAATACCTTAAAGTTGTGTAAGTATGGTTGGCATCCATCAAAGTCGAACCACTTACATAAATCTAAATTGAATCCTAATGGAGTTATTTACTCTAACCGTCAGCGATGGCAGTTGTCGCTTCGGCAGTCCATGCGATTATTTGCAATGAGCTGGAAATGCATCTTCGACATCTTTGGAGGATGACTCATTGGAGGCGTGTAATTGATATTAGTAGCGCTGCGAATTGATACTACGAAGTTAGATGCAACTGGAATCGTTTATATTGAGCTGTGAATCGACTCGCACTTGCGTTACGCATTCGTCACTTGACCCAGTTGCTGTCTTCGATTGCCTCGCTGGCCAATTGTCCGATTGTCCGATGGTCGAATCGTCAAATTGTTCAGTTGTTCAGTTGTTCAGTTGTGGCGGCCGCCAGCTGTTCACCTGTTCAATTGATCGAGTCGCACAGCTAATGACGACCCATAACATGGGCAAAGAAAGAGAAAAGGAGGCCGCATTCGAAATTGATATTATCAGTAATGAATAATGAATACCGAATGAAAAATAATGTCTAATAACCGACCAGGCGATGCGACTCTCGTCTGTCGCTCTGACAATGGCCAACAACGATGCTCATTACATAAACGGGGCGCATTGCACCAATGATTGCGGCCTCCCCGCCCCCTGCTGCCCTCTCTCTTTGCCCCTCTTTCACCACCTCTTTAAATACCTAGCAATTGACGCAGACGCTGTGGCTGTGGCAGTGGCAGACGATGACGACGTCGAATTAGCGTTAATTGTCGCAGCTCTTGGCAACTTTGACAATTTTCTGTACCCTGTACTCATTGCAAGTGGCCACAACAATGAGGGGTATCACGCTCTGTGCATGTGCAGCATGCAACAGGCAGACAGTTGTGTCATCATATATCAGTCTGCCTCTATCATAAGGTCATGATCGACCTGAAGATTTGAAGACTTTGCTAACTGAATATTTGGCTTGTGGCTTGACTGGCATCGCCCAGTTGCCAGTCTTTAGCCAGAATGCTGTCAGACTTGAGGGTATCTGGTAGTCGCGCGAGGCTTGCCTAGAGCACTTTTACTTGACTTTTGAGTCGTGCCCCCGCCTGTGTTCCCCTTAACGCTTAACAAGATTGGTAGCTCGACAGCTCGAGGGGTGTTGGATAGCAGGTCTGACTCATTATGCAATCGCAGCGTTGCGCTTAATGCGATTGGATTTAAATACCCTTTGGTCGGCTGGCGGGCGGGCTGGCTGGCTGGCTGGCTGGCTGGCTGGCTGGCTGGCTGGCGAAATTGCCAGCGAAAATGGCCTAAACAATGGCATTGCTTTCCATTGATAAATCAGCAATGTAAACGGCCAACGCTTGTCCACAAATCAGCCGCTTTTACCAGCAAACAGTTTCTTATTTTTGCTGCTGCTGCATCATTTGGCATTTGGTTTCTGTTAGGCAGAACCCGCTGGCGCCCTGACCTTACCCAAGTGCCTTTGCTTTGCATAACACCAACAGCAATGGCAACAGCAGCAGCAGCAGCAGCAGCTGCGACAGCGGCAGCGGCAGCATTTTTGGCTTTCCCAGCAAGTCACGACCGGCGCAATTTTCTTGTCACTGTCACCCAAAACGCGGCACACGCAACAAAGCCAAGCAGCAGCAGCAGCCGCCGCAACAGTTAACAGTAACAGCAGCAGCAGTAGTCAAGAAGACAAACAAACAACAAAAAGCAGCAGCAGCCCAAAGCCAAAAAATAGTCAGACAAGAGCAGCGCAGCTGGCGGCAACGTCGACTTCGACGATTTCAGCATGCTGATAACAAGAAAGCTTAGCAGCAGCGCAACAAGCCGACGATTAAATGCTCTCTCCATCTCTCTCTCTCTCGCTCTCTCATTTCCTGTCAATCTCTCATTTGCCTAACTTCACCAATTGTGAGCAGAAAACTCCATCAGCTGTAAGGCGAGGGGAGCTCAGCGTGTGCTTCAATCACCTTACTATGCGATTCTCATAAGTTTTGCTTTCGTTTGCTTGGTAGTTCGTAAAAGATAATGAGGGCTTTTCAGCTATAGACGTAATTTCAGCTGCAAGTGTGCAACTTTGCTTCAAAACTTATGCGAGTTATCAGGTTTATGTTAAACGAGCGAAGAATTCGCTGCGCTCAGGCTGATGGCATATAACTAACTTGACCAACTGGAGACAGCAAAATTGACACAGCTAGATTAATCAGTTAGTAGAGCTATATATACAATATATATATATATATATATATTAAGGCAGATATATGATATATCACTGCTCCTTGTTAGTGTATTCAAAGAGTTTGTGAGCAGCAACAGAAAAAACAAACAGCTACGACTGCAATTGCTGCTGCTGCTGCTGCTGCTGCTGCGGCTGGCGTCGCTGCCTCGGCTGCCTCAGCTGCTGCTGTGGCCGCTTTGGCTGGCGGTTTCCATTTCATTTTTAAGCAAACGCTCGACGCGTTCAGCGTTTTAATATTTAATTCTCGTTGCTCGCGAACGGTTGATTAATTCAGCAGCGACACACACGTTGAGCGTTCAACGTTCGAGCCAAGACAGCGCGCGCGCCTCCTTTTTGTTAAGTGCACAAAATAAATAGAAAAATATTTACATTTTTTTTCCATTGCTCTGTGAAGTGTGCCGACCTTTAAGGATATAGTCAGTCAGTGCCCATTGCAATCAATCGATCAATCAATTGCAATGCTGAACTCAACTGCGCTGCCTTCGAGGCTTTGCGCCTGCGCCGCAACGCTGCTGCTGCTGCTGCAGCTGCCAGGAACTGCGGCACGCAGCTACAGCAATGGGCTGATCTTCTATGATCTGGCCACGCGTACGCCGTACTTGCCACCAACGGTGAGCGTGTCGCGTGGCCGCAACTTGGCCACCGTCAAGTACTCGGAGAAGGGCTCCATTTGGTCAACGTTCGGCCAGCCCTGTGAGTGCCTCGGCCCGGTCTGTGGCTGCTGTGCCGGCCTCAAGGTGGATCAGTACAAGTTTGATCAAAAGGGTAGGTAAACAGCAGCAACACACACACACACCACACACACAGTCGGCAAGACACACTGAAACAAATTCTGAGCTCGCTGCCCCACTTGTCCAGCTGGTTGATTGAAGCGTCTGCGGGCCGACATATAGACAAGCTGACAACAAGAGCAGCAACAACAAGTGCAACAAATTGTTGCCAGTCACATGACATGGTTGCATTTGCCAATCAAAATGCCACAAAGCGTTTGCATGTTGGCGCTCGGAGCTGGATTCCAATTGGCATCGCAAACTTCCACCCGCAACTTTCATTGCACTGCGAAAAACTCTCGCACAGTTGCTCTCGTTTTCGTTTTCGTTTTCGTCTGCGTTTTGTTTTGTATGGCAATTCGGACTAACTGTTACTTTCTTTCTCTAATTGTGCGCGTTGCAGTTTGCGCCAACTTCACATTCGTGCCGCACCTGGAGGAGGCCCAGCTGGAGGTGTTCCTAAACGAGCGGCCCTCATCCAAGTATGGCATTTCGTTGCGTAATCCGACGCCCTTCTGCATACCTGTCATGATGGGCGTGCCGATGGCCATGTGCGTCCAAATGACCGACATAGCCATGGTGGGCAACAACCTGAACATGTGCATGGACTTCGTGGTGCGCCTGGCCACCACAGATCTCTTCGAGATGCACTTTCAGTGCATGCGCATGGGCCTCGATGGCATTCAATACGTGGACAAGAACGGCGAGCCAGTGCTGCCCCCTAGCGCCGCGGAGTTCGATGAGGCTGAGGATGATAGTGTCACGGATCTGCAGGACTACGACTATGCCGAGCTGCCGGAGAAGGATGAGCAGCCCAACTTAGAGCTGGCAGCCGAAACGGAGCCTGAACCATTGCCAATTGAAAGTGAAATGCTCATGGCTGGGGATCCAGAGCTGGCAGTGTCATCGACTTACAATGACAATGACGGCGACGGCGACGGCAACGGTGACGGTGACGGTGATGGTGACGGTGAAGGTGACAGTGAAGTTGATGGCAATGGCGAAGGTGATGGTGATGTTGCTGGGGACGGCGACGATGACGTTGCGGAGACGCAGGCGCAGCCAGAGCAGGAGAAGGAGGTGAAAGAGACGGCGCTAGTACAGCTCGACGTTGACAATGCTGGCGAGAGCGACCTAAAGCAAAACGAAGTAATTGAAACAATTACAAATTCAATAACAGCCAACGAGGCGCCAGTTGCAACAGCAACTTCAACAACAACAACAACAACAACAACAACGATGAAGCCAACTGAGTCTGAGCAGGAGCCCGAGGAGGATGCGACAACAACAGCAGCTGAAGTTGCCAATGACCGTGACAATGAAGTGAATGTGGATGATGATGAAGAAGAAGAAGAAGAAGAATCAGATGCAGATGCAGATGCAGAAAAAGCTGACGCGGATGACAACGAGTTGGAGCCAGTGACAGAGGCAAAAGCAGAGGAACAAACTGAGCCAAGTGAGGCTGAGCTGGAAACAGAGGGCCCAGTTGCGGCACAGCAGGAAGCCGATGACGAAGACAATGATAATGATGATGATAATGACGATGACGATAATGAAGGGGATGATGATGATGTTGATGATGAGGCTGCAGTTGATGCTAAAGACGGTGACGAGGCGCAGCTAAGCCAGGAGGCGTCAACTGCTAATAGCAATGAAAGCGCTGTCAGGCCAAACACCAGCAACACGAACACCAGCAACAACAACAACAACAACAACAACAACAGCAACTATGAGCCAAGCCGCGAAGCTGTTGATGGGAATGTAAATGGAACTGAGGTTAAGCAGCAGCTGCAACTGCAGCAGCGACGACTGCAACGCTTGCGTCTGCGACAGCGCAGCGGCATTTAATTAATGCAGCAGCTGATTGTTAATTTATTATTATTATTGTTAATGAATTGTTAATGCTAAATGCTTGTTAATTAATACATATTTATTGCTATTGTAGAAAAAAGTCAAACAAATAAAAAAGTAAGCGAAATAAAAGAGAAAAAAGACAAAAACAAATGTTGACAGAAATACAACAGACAACAATGCAATTGATGTGCAAAGGAGGTCTCAGAGCGCCAGTGGCAGCAGCAGCAACAGCAGCAATAGCAACAACAGCAGCAACAGCATTGGGCACACTGCTTGCCCCTTGCACCAGTTGCTCCTCAACTGTTGCTTGACAAAGTTAAACTGCTTGCCCTCTGCTGCTGCTGCTGCTGCTGCTTCTGCTGTTGCTGCTGCTGCTGCTGCTGTTGCTATTGCTGTATTCATCGAAGCGGCTAATCCATATTGTTGTCCGTCGAATCCATTGAGCTTACTGAGTGGCCTTTGCGCTTGCGGCCCTTGAAGCTTGACTCCCATTGTCGTCGGTTTTCAAAGTCCAGTTCATATTGGTTTACCGCATGGCAGAGAGCCAAATAGGCCTTCAGCTTGGGCGACTGCAGGCGCACGGCCAATTGAATGGCCTTGTTTAGCGAATCGGCAAGTCGCTTAAATCGATTGAACTTCGCGTGCACCTGACAGATCAGAAAGGTGATATTGAAGCGCCAAGCGTTGCTGTTGCAGTTGCGTGCATCTGTACCCAAAACCCCACAGCAATAGATGGTTACGCTGACGCCAAATTAAAGTCACTGCCAATTACCACCTACCAATCAGTGCTTTCTGCGCCAATATCAGGGCCTTGTTGTAGCGCGACTCCTTAAAGTGGGTGCGCGCGATTTCAAACTGCAGATACGTGCGCTCGATGGCGAAACGCGAGTGCTTCAGGCGAGAATACAATTGTTCCAGCTTCTTGCTGCAAATGAAAATAGACGAATGGAATTGTGTGTACACCTCTATTTAGATCTGCGACTTACGCCACACGACTTTGTCGCTCTTTCTCCTTGTCGATTTCAGCGTAAACATTGTGACCACCAAATTTAACCGACAGATCCTTGGCCCGTTCGGCTGCCAGCAAATAGAGCGCGGATTGATTATTGAGATCCAGAAAATCGACATTCTTGGGCGCCGCACATTTGTCGATGTGGGCCAGAGCCAGGATGTTGTACACTTCGTTAACGAACTCCCACTTCCAGGGCAGCGTGCGGTTTGTCCTTAGCAAAATATTGGTCGACATAATCTGCTCGATGTAGTCGGTCAGGCGCTCGATGTTCCGCTCCTGCCGCCGCTTGTGCACCTCGCGGAGCATTCGGAAGCAGTCCCGTCGCGTCTGATACTCGATGCGGAACAGCGCAGTCGTCTGACTCCGCTCGCAGATCTGCGTGCCGCGGCACTTCATATGCCTGCAGTAGTAGAGGGGGCTGCGGCTGTGACACATCTTCTGTGAAGAGGCGGTATCTGTGAGTCTGATGATCGACGATAGCTAATGCATGTCTACCATGAACTTTTGCACTATGGCATACTGGTCGGTCAGCAGCTCGGTCAAGTAGGGCATGGAGTTGTGGGACAAGAGGTGCGAGAAATTAATGTTTGACTTCAGCTGCTGCAGCATGTTCACATCTGCGGAGCTGCGGTGCAGGTAGTGATTGTTGTAGACGTTCTGGCTCATGCGATAGCGCGCACGATCCAGCGGCGAATAGACGGTCTTCTCCTTGGCTATCTGACTCTCCACATCGCATTCTACGTTCTCGCTCAGCTGCCAGAGGGGCTGGGCCGTGAATGCCACGGATGTGCGCCGAGAGCGTGCCACCTCCATAATCAGGGGCCAATTGTTCAGCAGAAAGGGATGCAAGGCATCGCCGAGGCTATCCTCGAGCACACTTGTTGCCTAAGCATAGGGGAGACGCCGTCTAAATGGGTCTAAAGGTCTTAGTCAATGGATCCTCCTTAACTCACGTGGTTTGCACGCAACTTAAAGCGATCGTTGGCAATTTTCCCCTTATACTTGCATTTCTCGATGTTGAGCTGCACGAGATTATCTTCAAACTCATTGCACTCCAAGATCGCATCGCACTTGTTTAGGATGTTACTCAGCTTCGATTTACCCTCTAGCGCCAGGAGGTCATGTGCTTTTTGGGCATCCTCCAGCGCCAATTCTGGCTGGCCAATCGATCGTCGAAAGCTGCTGCGTTTCTCAAGCACTCGCGAGGCCATTTTGCAGTAATTTGCGTCAACTGAGTGGCACTTCTGCTGTCCCACTTCCAGGATTCGGTTGTTGCAGCAAGCGTGCTCCCCTTTCGTTTGGCATATGGATATGGAGCGATTAAAGTATTCCAGTGCGCTCTTGTTGCGCAACCGACACGCCCAGTCCTTGAAGATGCCCGCCTGTATACAATTCGGCCAATCAATGCGCTCCCACAGTTTCAGCTCTCGCTGCAGAACGCCCGTCCTCATGCCACTCTTCATATTGGCGCCAAGCTTAGCTTCGCTGGCCTGCGACATCTTTCTCTGATCTATTGAATGTTGGAATTTTGTACGGCAGCTCAATACTTGAGCTGAATTTGCAATAAGTACAATTTTGGCAGTAACTACGTAATTTTTAATCGATTTAAATTGACGAACGAATTTTCAAATATGAATTCCAATTCGAATTTGTTTGGCAAAGCAGGCGAAGTACCAAGCAGTTAACAACACTGCTTTCAGCACAAGGATGCCTAAGTCCAGTAGCCATCAAACTGTCCAACGTGTCTCGTATTACGTATACTACATTACTTTCCAATGCGGATATGACAATTAATTGATATATTTATATATATGCATAGTTATACAATAGTAAAAGAATAAAGATAATTTTAATAATAATTGTATTGGGATGTCAATGACATGAGTTTTGAATTAATCAAATTTTAAAGCAGTGCAAACGGACTTTATGAGCACCTTCCAAGCGGCACACAGTGAACTGGACCTTTACACACTGCTTGCTGCACTTCAGCCCTCTGAGTGCCTTTTTAAAATAACCCTCAAACTGTTAAAAATTCACATTAAACAAACAAACAAGGATCGAAATGCATGTCAGATTGCAGCCATGCCTCGATCTGTGTGTATCTGCAGGGTAAGTTGGCATCGGCTAAAGCATGACTTGATTTGTTAGTCAGCTGGCAATTGCGTCATTTTCTCCCACTTCCGCACAGAAAGTCCAAGTGTTGGATTTTCACAGCCGTTAACGTTATTGGGCACGCCTGCAATGCTCACGCTGCGAAAAACTAATAGATAAAACTCTCCTCTATTACAGGGTATATAGCCAGCAGCCGAAAGCGAGAAGCGACTTACAACTGCTCGGCGTGCTGCGAAAAAAACGAAACAAACAAACAAAGCGAAACAATAACAAACTTTTGGCAAAGAGTCATAATAGTGGAATATTGCATAACTTTGTGTCTCTTCTTCTACGACTTCGTCTTCTTGTTTTTCTTCTTCTTGCTGTTGACCAAATTATTTAATTATTTTATTTGTTTTTGTTTTTGCTTTTGTTTTTGCTGTCCATAGTTTGTTTCATCTTTTGTCCAGCTGCCGGTGGATTTGGCCCAATTGCTTGGCCAGCGACAGCGATTTTACAACAATTATTCCAAATATTTATGCGAAATGTAATTTGTTTAATTGTTTTTCTCTTTCTTTTTATTATTTCTCTGTTCACATAATTTATGCATTGCCATTGTTTTCTTTCATAAGCGCGATTTTGAGCTTGTGTTCGAGATTTTGCTGGGCAGACGACGGCGACTCGTTCCAGCTGTCACCTGTTTGCAGAGGGGGCGAGCGACACGCGGCGGCGAGAGCTTGGACAAGATCTTGGCAACGATGATGACCGCTCGAATTGTTCACATTTGTATGCCGGCGAGCTGTGGGTGTCACTTTTTACGTTTATTGCGGAAAGAAAGTCACAAAGCAGCAAAAATAAATAAATAAAAAAAAAAGGTAGCGAAACTGTTGCTGCCATGGTCAGCCACAGCAACAGCAGCAGCAGGGGGCGTGGCAGGGGCCACTTGAGCGACAATTAAAGCACTTTTTTTGCTTTTTTTTTGTGAAGTTTTTTTGTGCGCGCGTCTTTTTTTGGCATTAGCGCAACGTGTGGCCAACAGCTATAAATAAACACAATCATCGCACAGCCGTACGTTGGGTCAGGAAACACTGTAAACGCGCTGCACAGCATGTCAATTAGCCGCCTGCAGTCGCTCCCAAACTGTAACGTTATGCACAGCTCTGGTTTGAAGTGCACAAAAGATAAAAAAAAAACAACTTTAAATATAATGAGCGAAAAACGAATACTTTTCAAAATAGTTTCTTGAAGTTTGCTTACCATCGCGTTGCCAATTAAAAAATAAATTTATTTCAACTATTTTCAACTGAGATACCGTGACTCATATAAAGTGAAATTAAACTTGCTGCCATCATAAACAATGTACATAGATTCTTCTTCGAAGCTATGTTCATAAGGTTCATATAAATCAATCTCTATGACTACCAAGCCATATAGCTTTCATGGTCCCATAAAGCTTGACACAATTCAATTTCCCTAACTGGTTAGCTATGTAATTTCCATAGCCCCACAGCAACTATCTTCTATCAATCTGTCTCTTTATAAAGCTTGGCTCTAACTACCAAGCTCTATAGCTGTATAATAATCTATATATATTATTCTTCAAAACTATATTTACAAGGCTTGCCACAGCTCCAACTGCTTGACTACTGACCTATATAGCTGCCACTGACCCATATAAATTCTTCTTTAAACTATCTTCAGCAGGTTTGATACTATCCTTGTCTCTGACTAACAAGCAATATAGCTCAATCTATTTAACTGCTAGCTGCCTTAGCCCATAGCTCAGTCTCTCTGACTACTGAACTATATAGCTGTCATTGACCCCCAAGAAGCTATATAAATTCTTCTATAAACTATTTTAATAATGTAAATAGGCTGTAATAAGGCTGCCACAATAATGAATATAAATATCATATTCTTTAGTTTGATACTTTGAAGCTCTATAGAAAAACATTTCTATTTTCCATAATATTGTCAACGTGTCAAGTCCGAGCTATCACATTATGCGACACAATTTGAATATCCAAATAAACATAGTTTTTGCTTTGCTGTTTTTGCCAGCTTAGATTTGCCTGAAATGTAGATCATCAGTCGATTCGTATATTGAATTAAAGTGCAAGGCAAAGGCTAACAAAGTCAACTGAATAAATGCTTTTTGATCTCGGGGGACATCTAGCAATCCAGGGCAGTCAAACGTGCTGCAGTCAGTAAGGAAACTTACCAAGCTTGCGGCCTCTTGTCAAGTATTCACAGGATTATGCAGGACGAGCTGTCACCTCTTTGACCTACTTAAGGACACTGTCCGGTTAAGAGCTTGTGTCCAAATTAGTCGGTGCTAAAATCTTACTATTTATTCATGCGCCCTGTTGCATGCAACGCGTAGCTCTCAAGTGCCGACATTCGCTGTTGCCACCTGATACAAGCTACTCGAATTACCACGCGCCCCATTCGTGCGAGGTGCAAATCGAGTTAAGCCCAACGGGCGGTCGCCTTGCAACTGCTGTCGAGCAGCACGTACACAAAGCATATCTGTTCAGCATATGGAAATCTCTAGGCAGTGCCCAGGAGCAAGAGATTGCCGAAGGCAATTAAGAAGTCGATGCTACCTGCATCTGATTCTTTAAAATGAACAAAAAATAGCTCTTAAGCTCCATGCAGCAGCGCAGCGAACTGAGAGAATCGCAAAGAGAGGCGCATAAATTTGAACGGCGCCTAAAGCGACTTCTAATGCAGCAGTTATCATTAGTTGAATGCTTTGTTTATGTAGTTTAATTAAGTATTGCTGGTGTTGTAGTTCGCTGCTTTTTTGGATATGCAACAGAGTTCACAATTATTATGCTGTGACATGCCTGTGGGCCAAAGTTAAGCGGCAGTAATGCTGTATGAAGGGCCGCATGGGGCACGCTCGACACTCGTTTCGTTTGGTTTGGCATCGTGTGGCAGGCTTCGTATTCGTACGGCTGCAGCATCAGCGGCGATGTGGCTCAGTTCGCTTTTGTCTCGCCCAGTGGCAGGTTGTTAGTCGGTCCTGTGCGTGCAGCCCGAGCAGTGGCAGCCAACGGCTCTCGACGCACATTTCAGTTGATAATTTCAAAAAAGCGAATTCATAGACAAGTCAAAGGCGTTGCCGCAGCATCCGTGTCAGCCAACAGCACTAGACCAGAGGAGTCTGGCACTTGACGTGAGTATTTAGCCAACAATTCCCTACCAAGTGGTGGTGGCTTAAACGGGCCCATTGCCCCATTCAATAGGCCAACATCATTTTGTCCCATTGACATCTTTTTGACCGTAATCATGAACGCCAGCGCGTGTCGCTTGCCTCTTTAATTATTTATCTGTAGATCCACAATTCCCTTTTTTTACATATCTACGAACGACAAATACAAATCAAGTATACGCCGCATAAACACTTCAATGCCATTAACATGAATCTTTCATATAATTTCGTACGCTCACATGACAATTTATGTGGCCCCAGTGAGTGTTTTGCTCTCTTTGCCTTTTGGGTCTTCATTTTTTGTATTTTTATGGGCCAACTTGGACCATCCGCAGAGGACTGGCCACAGTTTGGGGGTTCGTTCGTTCAGTTCGACTAATGCATTGATCAATCAGACGCCCGATTACGCCGCGCTCTGCCAGCATATACATTCATAGTATCAAAGCTGAGCAGCTTCGCCTAACCTGCCAATCCTGATGGCAAACATCATTCCGTCTCGTCAGCAGCTGAAGTCAGGTGGCAGAGCTTCAACTGCAATGCAAATGCGTCGCATCATCCCTGTCTCCATCTTATTATCGCTGGCGACTGATTGGCTTCGTTTGTCAGCAATTGTTACAGTTGCATAATGTTTGCCAAATCAGTTGCATGCCCCAGCGACGCCATTCAAATATGCCAAGCTCTGCCGTCGCTGGCGCCACCTGGCGGGCAACATTAAATGGCATTTGGAAAACGTTTCTCCTACAGAAGCCGCTCGTTAACTGCGAATGACTGGCAATAACTGGGGATTCCGAAATCCGAATTTGAATTCTTTACTTTACTTGGCTGCGTGTGCAACAGTCTTAAAGGAATTTGTAACATTTAATTGTGCTTAAGCGCTGGAGTCGTGGCATTAAGTGGGAGCGCGACGGGTGCGTTGACCTCTATCCGCGAAGGGCCTGGGTTGTGGGTATTCTTTTGTGCAAAATGTCGCTAAAGCATCGTTAAATGTGGCGCATCAAATTATCATTAGATTTATAGCTCTTGGCCTCAACTGCGCCCCGAGCGATGCCTACTTGGCCCCGTGTTGCACGCCTCACTTTTTTATGGCTTTCGAGCAGGAGGATGCGGGCAGCTTTTATGGCCCGTTTTGATTTACGGCAGACGCCTAAGCTACTGCAACAGTGTGCACTTTCAGATACCTTACAATAGACAATGTTAATGTTCAGCCTGAAAACTTTGAATCTTCATCTCCAGCTGCAGCCGAACTTTTGGCAACATCAAAACTAATAGAGAATGGCGCACATGATGTATATTTTGGTTTGCATTAACATTATGAGCGTAGAATATCAAGTAACTCGATAACAAGACAAGCCAAAGTGTTGCAGCTGTGCGGCACCGACTGCGTAATACCCGTCCACGACCTAAAAGGAGTTAAGTCATTTCTCAAACTCTTTGAGCTTGAGTCGGCAGTAACTTAGTTGTCCATTCTGGAGCTATTGCTCCAAATTGCCAAGTCAGAGAGAGACGGACAGACAGGCAAAATGACGCAAAGGCAAACAGACGGAAGGACAGAAGGACGCAGCACGCACGGACGAACCAAGGTACAGTCGGACTAATGTACGGGCGGACAGACGATGGTATAGACGGACCTATGGACAGACGAACGGGCGAACGGACGAAAGGACAGAAGGACAAACAGACAGAAGAACGCACGGACATAACACAAAACCAATATTCGATTTTCGATTCGTGAACGAGTATAAAAAATAAATTCATATCATTCTCATCAAGAATATTATTCTTGTCTTGAACTTTGAAGACGAACTTTGATACTTTATTAGAATTTTAAATTTCAGTTCGATTGAATTGAAATCAGTCTTGAGAGCTGGGACCACTATGAATACTGTTTGTCTAACTGAATTACATTCGTCCATCTAGAGAGTAATAGAGCTGAGGAAAATGAAATTTATTTGAAATAGAATTGATAATCAAATGAAATTGATGAACATTATTATTGAAATAAGAACTGAAAGTAAATTTATAAGTAAAGACTTCATAGACTATATATTCCAAGATCTGAAAACAAGGCAGCCGCCCAGCTCCATATTCACGGATTGAAGCTGCTCTAGTTGGTGTAGTTCGTATTTCCGACTAGAGTAAAGTTAAAGTTCTTGTATGTTATGGGTAATCTTTAAGGCAACTTGCCATTGCCTGTGGGAACTGGGTTACGCTTTGAGTGCTAGGCAAAAGCATTTCCCTCAAAGAACTCCATAAACGAGCTTAACTTATGCAGCGCCCGAAAACTGTGACAACACACTTGAGAGTGAGAGAGGCATGCAACCAACTTGTTTGAGCAACAGGCGCCAGCAACTTAGCGACAACTGAGTAAGCAGCTGCTTACTTTGCCTTGCCCCGGACTCGACGCTGTGGCACTGACAGCTCGAGTCGCCTGCTTGACTGTGATTCCCGTGAGGGCGCGCCGAACGGCAACAGGAGGACGAGTTTTGTAAATTCATTAAACGCATGAAATATGCATAAACATAATTCGGTTTCTGTAATTAACATTTTTGCCAGACAGTGTGTTTTTTACGCTCTCCTCTCCTGTCATGTCTTCCACAGTTTTCTTACTGCTGTTTTTTTCCTTTTTCATTGCCGTTCGACTGAGTCCTTGGCAGTCGCAGCACCAACAGCTGCACCCAAGCTGCCCGCTAATTGAATCACTTTGCCCATGTTTGGTTTGCCTTTTTGTCTAAGTCCACTTCGCGGCTTTAATTAAGCAGCCAGCGGGCTAAACTACGATACGCCAGCGAGGATACAACCCTTTACATGTTGGCTAAGCAGAACACGTGCTGGAATTTCTCAACACTAATTCGAAAACATCAAAAAAGCACGTAACCTTGTTAAAACTGATCAGTGCACCGATCAGCAGATACCCTAGACTACAACATCAATATTTAACTGTTTCTAGGCTAGCTGAGAAGCTGATAAACAGATGTGACACTTATGCTTAGTCTACTCACTACTGCAAAATCGTCGGAAAAATCAAGGAGGACAAAGCAAGACAGACGATTTACATACCAAAGTCTTCTGTCGCTTTCAAGTTTGATTCCAGCATGAAGACGAGCGCAGACAGAAAAATGTAATACTTTATTGGGCAGGCGCGATACTTCTTCATACACAAATATCTTATTCCGAGAAGTTGAGTCGCTTTTGAGATCATTTCCTATAAAAAGATGGACTGATAGGCGACTATGTTTAGGCTTAGCTCTAACTTTATTGGGCTGATGTGAAGCACAGATCTCATAGCTCCTCTAGGCTAGTCACATTTGAGATCATTTTCTACTTGAACACGGACAGATATGCAGCATAATATAAATTTCACTTTATTGAGATGTCATGATGCTTATCTATGCGCAGATCTCATCTCCTCTGATCTAGTCACTTTAAGATTGTTTCCTTTATAAAGCCGAGTCTATATTGTATCTTCTTCTCTATGCACAGATCTCATTTCTTCTCTAGTCTAGTCGCTTTTGAGATCCTTTCCCGCATGAGGACAGATAGATAGGCGAAGATATTTTTGTACTTTAGGGCGCTGCTGCGACGCTTCTCTATGCACAGATTCCCTTTTGTTTGCCATTTTTAAAAAGGGCAGAGCTTATATAAAAAGTAGAAAAATATGCAAATGCCAGAGGTCTAGGTGTAGCCGCAGCTGCTGCTGTTGTTGCTGTTGCTGCTGCAGAGTCAAATGGCAAGTGGGATGCGGATGAGGATTGGGCTACTTATGACAAACTTTTCTTGTTGGCTTTCAGCTGGGTGCACGTTTTTATTTTGGTTTTCCTTTTATGTGCCACTTGTTGAAACTCATTAATTTGGAAAAAAACAGAAGAAAAAACGCAAGAAACTTTGGCGAAACTTCGTTTCGATGCCAATTGTGAAGGACACGTGCAGGACACAATTTTCACACGAATTTGTGCAATTTGGCAACGCAAACGTGGATCCGTCCTGCACTCAGTGCGAATGTGCTTTTAGCTGCCAATTGCTGCTGCTCAGCATAATTTAATTTACATGGAAATGCGAGTTTAAAATGCTGCGGCGTAGCATCTGTGCGCCAACTGTCAAATGCCAGGGTGGTTAGGGACTTGCAAACGGGCAGCTCCGGCTCTGGTAATAGCTCTATAAGCGTGGCCGACAACGGCAAGGATATCGCGCTGTTGCCATTCAAAGGCAGCTGTGCAGAAACCGGCAGATAATGTAAACAAAACAATGCAAATAACAACAGCAACAACAAACAGCAACAGCAACAGCAACAACAACAGCAACATCACCTCACAATACAACAAGTTGCATAGATGCAATCCGTTGTCTGGCTGCGAGCGCTTCCTTGGTAACGGCGACAGCATTTCAGACTGCGTTTGATATGGAATAAGGGGGGCACAGGAAATGTGTGTGTGTGTGTGTCTGTGTATGTGAAGACTGTAGGTAACACAAGTTCGTGGCTGCGACTCAACGTGCCGAGTGCTCAGCCACAGCAACAGCAGCAACAGCAGCGGCAGCAATATTGCAGCTGGTCGCGGCACGCCCATTGGCGAGCAACGAAATACTAAATACAAATATCAATATAAATCAACTAGAGTATACCCTGTGGAACAAGTGTTCCAAGTGTTAAACAGGCTCATGAATAATCATTAGGGCAAGAGAATAATGGCTCGAAAATGCTTAGCTTGATCAAGATATCTTAACAAGACTTGAGTATGTCGGGAATGGGGGCAATCCGGGCATTTCAGACTCCACGCTTCAATCTCTTCACGTTTCATATGCCAACAGTTAATCTCAGGCTCATTACCTTCCACAAAGGCAACTGTCATTGGTTCGTCCTTCATTCCAATATAAGTGAGTGGCTTATCCGACAGATATAGGCCTATATCTGCATGCTAAGAAGTTAAAGAGAAGAGTTGGAAGGATGGAAGTAGCAAGGCCACTCGATT